TTTTTTAAACACATTTTATTATGGAAGAAAATGTTATGGAGAAATGAGAAAATGTACTTTTTGATCATCACAAACCTGTCCTAAAACCATCTACCTTATCAGATCTTCAGTGAAAAATTTCATGAAGAAATATTTAATAGTTTTTGCGTAATGGTACAGCATACATAAACTTGCTTATCTTTATATTCTTTCTACACGAAGATTTCGAAATTAGAAGATTTCGAAAATAGAAAGCCAAACAAATTTGACGACATAAAAGTACCGTAAAATAACACTCATAGCGCATCAGTTTCAAGCTTGAAGTATAATAAAAAAGACTATAAAAATCTTTTAGTAGCATTCTTAATGATTGGCAGTTATAGAAAACAATTTCATAGGTCCTGTATGCGATATAACTAAAAAATATTTGGAATATGTTATTCGTAACTCATAATCAAATTGATATTTCTGACAGAAGCAAGAGACCCTTGTCAAAGTGTACAGATAATATACCCACATCTTAAATGATTTATCATAGTTCAATCTCTAACAAGATTGATGTGAAAGTACGACCCACTATCGGTTTGCGATTTTCAGTCGGCTTCGAGATAAAGCCCTAATTAGACCGATGACGTATCGGCTTTTACCTAGCTCGGTACTGTCCAACTTTTTGCTGGTCATTGGAAAACGAGAAATCAATTTTCCGACGCGATAAATTACGAAAACTTCAGGGTAATAAGGTTGACGTAGTTGCGGAGTTCATAGATTATTTCTGGTGTGGTAAATCAGCGTAAATCACGTGTGCAAAATTCATGTTAGTTTAAACTTTTGAGAGTAGATATTTTTCAAGTTCTCACACAAGTTTTTTTAGACATTTGTACTTGTACATATGTAGGTATATTAGTTATTTTATCAGTTTTTATGTAAAAAGAAGTAGTTATTAACAGTTGGAGATATTCATTTTCCACTAATATTCATAACTTAATGTGTATCACTAAGCTGTACAAAAAATAGGGACATTATCAACAATAAAAATAAATAAAATTTATATTAACTCATATTGACTATGGAGTTATAATATGTACAATAAACATGATTTGAAACTATGGGAAATAAAATAACAAAATATTTAAAAGAAGAATAAATATAATAAAATATTGTAAAATTATTTTACAAAATTTGCTCAAAATTTTCAACTGCTCCACTACAAGTCAACATGGTAAAATGTTTGAGGCAATCTTTATTATAATAAAATTTAACAATAATTTTCTAAAAATCGTAGTGTCATCGTTCGAAAAATTAATACAAATAATTTAGAATTTGTCAATGAAAAGGGATGCTTAAAAATTATTACTCGACTGATGAAACCACAATGAATGAGTACACTTCTCAATACTCATCTTTAACCAATACTGTTACCATTAAAGCAATCGATACGAATCACTAAAATCACTAACAACTTTTTGGACACAAGCTATAACATTTGTCGTACGATTTCACGAGAAATCGGTCAGTGATTTCAACGATCTCCGCTCACGATTCATTTTTTCCATGTTCAATTACAACCCGTTAAAGCCTTACGAAGGCCATCTCCGTCTTTTTACCTTTCGGCCGCGGTTTAAAATTCAGGCTCCGTTCGTGAAGGAGCAGTCGATACGACCTAGAGGGAGATAAATTCTAATTAAAAGTGACAAGTTCTCGACGTGGCTACTTTATATTTCCGGTTGCGCTCCTTCGACAGTTTTCACGGAGAGATTACGCCGGTTCGCGCCTCCCTGTCTCGTGTAAAACATCCTATCGCTAATACGTTATCTAGTATCAATGATCAGACGAGTTTACGATTATAACCCTCTTTTGCTTCTATAGACCGAAAAACAGGTAAACACTTACGCCAAGTATTTTTTTGTGGAAAAAACGGGAAAAAGATGTGCTACTAAACCTTGCAATTACTGGCGCATTTTTAACCTTTTGACTTATAATATGGTGTCACACTCGTGTCGCACATTGCACTTCAGATCCAACAAATCAAAATTATATTCGCAGTACAATCGAGACTGGAGTTTAGCAGCAATTATAATATGCATAATCAAGGATTTATTAATTCACAATAAGGTAAAGTGGGGTAAGTTCCTAAACTGGGCAAGTGCGTATACAGGCTATTTTTATTACAATATGAGCGAAATTTCTCCATTTAGTATGTTTGTTTCCTTCTTTTGTTTCACTATGTCCCCTTTTATATTTCAGCTAAGAGTACTTGTTTGCAGTATAGAGTACTTGCATAATTCAGTAAACAGCATTATATAGCAGATTTGTTAATAATTCTGCTCTTGCCCCATTGCACATGAAATAAAGTTTCAAAGTATTTAACTTCAAGTTACACTCTTACTCCATTTTCGGGGAAAGTGCAGAGTAGTTGACATTTTAAACAATTTCCTATCAAAATCAAAATGTACGAGGAAAATTAAGGTCCTGGTTAATATTAATTAAATAGTAGTAATTGTGCAAAGCGTTGTCGATATCGACAGCGTTTCAGTATTTACATAGCAGACTGAAAATACTTACGTTTAAATACCAACTTTACAAAAACCAGTCTGCACTTACCCCACTTCACCTTCCATATAAATTTATTTTACATATTTACATAGTATAATACATGATATTACTCATTTATATTATCATTTATAAATAATCATACATATTTTTATTTGAATAGGTCGGAATTCGAATACGCAACAGAATTCAAGTTTGTTTAACAATTTTAAAACGTGAACGTCTTATTTTGCATTAAATTTCATGTTACATGTTATGTATAGTATAATACATTATATTACATAATGATTTTCGTTACAGTTCATGCATTAATTGCATTTTAAGGAGCCTCATAAAAGTATTTCATATTTTGTAATTATAGTATAATGTAATTATAATTAATTTGGTGTTTCTTGGATGTATAGGTCGAAAAACATATAAAAGAGTATATCAAGTAATTTTTTCTGAAAAAAAAAAAACGAGAAAAAGATGTGTTATTAAACTTTTCAATATCTTGCATAGTTTTCGAGAAAATTAAGTTTGAAAATTCAGACTGCGTTTCTGTGTTATTTCCTGTTGAGCAACGTAGTAATCGCATGCATAGAGATGTGATAGATGGCAATATAACGCGCGACAATTACAGTGTGTGACAATTACAATATGGGGTAGTTACGACATACTGCAATTATAACGCGTAATAATTATAGCACGTGGAAAATATAGTATCATAAATACAGTGCGTTGTAATGTTTATAAATACGACGTGGGGGAATATGATGAGCGAGAATGCAATGTGTGGTCGTATTAAGTGTAGAAATTTAATATGTAATAAACATAAATGCGCCAAGATACATATGGGGTAATTAGAATATGTGATAATTATAACGCGTGGTAATGAAGATCTATTGTAATTTAAACTTGTAATAATTAGGTCGTGCTGTAATTAGAACGCGTTATAATTAGGTTGTGATGTAATTATAATGCGTGATAAAGACATGTACAACGCGTGGAATTTCACATGTATAACAATTACAGCACGTGTGTAATTAGAACGTGTGGCAATAACAACGCATGATAATGGGGATGTGTAGCAATTACAACGCGTGATAATTAGAACGAGTCATAAATACAACGAGTGGAACTTCATTCGTGTAACAATTACAACACGTGTGTAATTAGAATATGTGGTAATAACAACGCATGGTAATGGGGATCTGTAGTAATTACAACGCGTGATAATTAGGACGTATAGCAGTTACAACGCGTGATAAGGATGTGTAGCAATTACAACGCGTGATAATTAGGACGAGTCGTAAATACAACGCGTGGAACATCATTCGTGTAGCAATTACAACACGTGTGTAATTAGAATATGTGGCAATAACAATGCATGGTAATGGGGATGTGTAGTAATTACAACGCGTGATAATTAGGACGTATAGCAGTTACAACGCGTGATAAGGATGTGTAGCGATTACAGCGCGTGATAATTAGAACGAGTCATAAATACAACGAGTGGAACTTCATTCGTGTAGCAATTACAACACGTGTGTAATTAGAATATGTAGTAATTACAAGGCGTGCTTAATTAAGTCATGTGACAATAACAAAGTATACTAATTACAATGCCTGGAAAATACAGCGTGTTACAGATACAACTGGCAATTAAAAAGCATAGAAATACCATACATGGCAAATACTATGCGTGGTAATTACAACGGATCAAAATTATAGTGCGTGGCAATTACAATGCGTGGAATCTACAATACGTAGTAATTACAGCGCATGAAGCAAAGAATATGCATAATGTTCTGTTTTAATCTGAAGAAAGTAGCATCCGAAACGGTGGAGATACTTCAAAGTGCTTTCGGTGATAAAAGTCGTCAGCAGACTTTTTTCTCTCCTCTCGCTTCAAAAGAGCACCGAAATGGCGACGTTTCGATACTCGACGGGACATAATTACAAAATCGCAAGAAGAGTTGAGGATATCGAAATCAGGAAGCATTCGCAGTTTGGAAAGATTGTGTAAATGTACAGGTGCAGATAGAGGATATTTCGATATATCGTAAATGCCGTTTAACCTTTGAGTAAACGATGTGTATCAGAAGTCCGAAGTTTTTGAGCACACGTGCTACCTGTTGAAGATGGTGCTTTCCAATATAATATCAGTATTATGCAGCAATCGGGACATGTATCCACATTTCCTTCGTCTTCTTTCGGTACGTTAATGTAGTTTACAGTGTAATTTACGTACAATGTTGATAGCAAAGTACCGTTGATAAGATACTCGATTGAAAGTAATTTAAAGTTAAATTATACTGGAGAATGTGAATTTTTCAACACACTTTCTTGGAATCACACGGGAGAAAACTTGGGAGTGCATTTTGAACAAACAGTAAGAAATGCGAAGTTTCTTCTTTTCAGAGGTGGAACAATTTTAGATGATTAAAGGTGAAATGGTGTTTGTTTTTAACATACGAGAGGTTACTTACTTTTCAGAAGAGGCAGATCGTTCATGAACCCTCCATCGTCTACGTTTGTGTTCTGAAATGAGGCAGATAGAGAATATTAATATGAACGTATATTAAAAGTGTAATGGTATTTTGAGATCCGATGAATGATTTGAAAGTTATGAATAAAATGAACTGATTAATAAATGAAATTAACTATTCCGAAATTTAATTAACCCTTTGCTTTATAACGTCTTATTGCTACATTTACTAATTATTTTTTATTGAGTATTTGTTCAGTTCCTTACGCATTTTTGTAATTGTAAGATAATATATGAAATTATTGTTGCAACTTCAAAATTTTCTTTTATTTAATACATTTTGTAGAATTAGACTCGAAGTTACGAAGCAAAGAGTTAACGAATTAAACTTGCAAGAAAACCTTAAAGAGACCAAAGAGTAATGTCCTTTTTTACAATAAATTCAAACAAATAATTTAAAAATTTTTTTACATAGAATTGTAAATAAAAATTGAAGATTTAATTATTTACAAGTAAACAACCTTAAAACGTTTTAGATACGAAATTGAAAAATCAGTTAATAAATGACAAACGTTGACACGCGCAGAAACATTACTTTCCGTTTCCCCGTAATAATACATATAATATAAACTTCACAACTACGCATGATCACAACCCTTTCGGTTAATTGAATGTTCGTATTGCATGAATCAATAGACAGAATGGTAATAGAGAAAATGCGTTTGCGATTACGTACATCGTCGCTCACCTGGGGGTCGTCTACGAGGCTGCTGTGGAGAACGAGGTCGGTTTGGTCGAGGCCTGGAGGTGGCAGAAGGGCGTCGGGACGCCGGACGGCGCCGTATTCGACACCCCGTCCGCCACCGCCACCTCCTCCACCACCACCGCCGCCGCCGCCTCCGCCGCTGCTACGGCCACCGTCGTATGGAAACGACGCGTGCATGTTCGTCTGAAAGTCACAGAAAAATTATGTTACTTCTGCTCCAGTTACAAGTCTTCAAATTTTTGAAGATGAACATTTGTAAATTTGATAATTTAGAAATTTGATGATTCGGGAATTGTAGACATTTGATAAAGTGGAAATGGGGGAATGTGAAAATTTGGAAATTTGGAAAATTTACAAGAAACTAAAAAATGTGGATATTTGAAAATGTGGAAATGTAAAAAGTTAGAAACTTGGAGATGTCGAAATTTGGTAATATAGAAATGTAAAAGTTGTAAAATTGTAAAATTGAAGAATTGAAGAATTGTAAAATTGAGAAATTGAGAAATTGAAAAATTGAAGAATGAAAGAATTGAAGAATGGAAGAATTGAAGAATGGAAGAATGGAAGAATGGAAAAATTGAAAAATTGAAAAATTGAAAAATTGAAAAATTGAAAAATTGAAAAATTGAAAAATTGAAAAATTGAAAAATTGAAAAATTGAAAAAC